CGCAATAATTATGCATCAACCTAATATAATGTTTCACATTGCTTTGCCGTACATACCTGTCATGATAGAACCGCTTTGTTTGGCCGACGTTTCGGATAACTCCTCTCTTCGAGGAGCTGAGAGTAATTCGGAGTCCCTGATTTGTGGCTTACCTGACCGTGCACCCGAAAGCGCTAGGCCGTTCGCAACAGCTCCGAGAAACTTGAAAACAAAAAGATGCCAACCGAGAAACTGACCTGCGGTCCCACCAACGTTGCCGTCCCGCTCGATTCTGTGAACAACAAGGGACCAATGAGACACCATTGTCGGCCGAAGATGAAACGCGCTGATTTCAAAACCCACAAAAGGGAGTGAATGGCAGAAGGTCACTCGTTATGGCAATGCGTTCATTTCGGTTGTACAGTTTAGGATTTCTCTCGCGGTGCAACGCTCCGAATATTTTTCTGACACCGATCTCATTCTCGTAGTCTTGGATTTTGCATTTAATATCAAAATCTTTGTCCTGATGCTCTTCTAGTCGATGCCTACCAAGTGGCATGAGTAGGCTTCCTCGCTTTTTACCTGCTAGTTGTTCCTTGCACGTATGTCCAGTATCCTTCCCGTCTCACCAATATGTATAGTATATTTCGTCACAGGCTGAACACTGAAGTTGATATACCGTCCCTCGCTGTATTTAGTCTCCTTTCCTTCGAAGAGACAAACAACGCAGTTATCTGTAGTATATGCACGATTATAGAGTTTGTTGCGGATCAGAAGACGTTTGGTATAGTATAGTCTGTTGGTACGTTTACTAAGACAACATCATTAGCCAAATCCGCTCGCGCAATGCACTGCCGTATTTCTGCGCTGATTTTGTCTGATATAAATGGAAGTCGGAGATGCACCATACTCCCATAATATCGCAGCGAGTACCTCTTTACTTGACCTTCTTTATTTTGTCGCATAACCATTAAAGTTTGCGATCCCGAGATGATAGCCCAGGTGACTTCTCCCATTCCACTTTACCTGTACACACTCCTGTAGCTGTTTGCACATATTGGGAACTACTGCACGTTTCACTACTTCAGGATGAGCAGACCCTGCGTGGAGTAAGATCTCCTTAGAGCTGTCCTCCCGATGCGACTTTGCATTGACCTTCCACTTGTGATGTTTACCTGCGTGTTGAAATAAGGAAGCCAGCTTTCGTGCGGAACCTTTCTCGTGAATTTCGATTCAGTGAGACTGTCGGTTGAGGATGTCAAACAACTCATCCATTTCTTGGTGTGTTGATGTAGCTTCACAGCAGTCATCGATGTCATCGATGTACCGACAGTAGATAATGGACATGACTAGTCTTTCTAGCCTGCTCATAAAACAGAGATAAGACCGGTGCTAGCCGCTGACCTATAGCAAATCCTCAGTTTTGCGATAAGTACTGCCCGCTCCACTTGAAATAACCTGCCTTCATTTTTTAGAGATTACATTTCCATATAGTGATGGCAGAAATCGGGGTTGAATGTACTTCGGATAGCCGAGAAGGGGTGGACGTTCGACTAGCTTTTTGGTTCTCGCTACCGTAATAAAGCCATAGGGAACGTTTACTTATGCTCCAAGAAAACAGCTGTACAAAAAAAAGCTAAATTAGCAAAATACTATAACTATACATAACCCGTCTAGGAAGTAACACTTGTCGCAGATCAGTTATTAACGTAAACTATGATTTCGCTTCGTTGAGATTTTTCGCTAAGCTGCTCGAACGTGACATACTGGTCGTTGATAACTTCTTTCGTACTGATGCTCCATCTCGAGCGGACATCGACGACATGGATGTCTCACGTGAAAGCTGAAATAACTTATGCCTTAATGTAAAAAAGTACTCGGAAAAATTCAAGCAAAGAAGAAACGCATGAATAGGTACGGCCCAAGAGCATTTTTAGACGTGTCGGCATTTTCACGCATAAGTGATATGAATGGGTATAATCCCGTCCAATCCTAGAATACCTTTGGTCGGTATGAAAAGAGGTCTTCCTCAATAGTATTCGAAGTCCTTTTGTCAACATCTTCATGTCAATCTTCTTGAGTTTTGAAAATGCTTCAAAGAAATTCATACTTTCGTGGCTATCAAGAGGGCATTAACAAGGTTCATCAACATGACATAGTGGTTATATTGTTTCTTGTGCATTGTGGATAATTCTGAGGTACCCAAGCTTTAAGGTAAGTAAAGGAAGAGATGGAGTTGAGTAGGCTCAAGGCCGCGAAGGAAGCACGAAACTCTATGGATTCTGAGTAACACAAGGCTTTGAGAAGCGGCTAAATTAAGTTACGAGATTATGACGGCGGAGTTGGATTGGAGGGGGTACTTGGACGAGGTCCAGTCATGATTAATCGCATAGAGCTGGCTACACTGAGCAAAGAAGGGCCATAGATTCCTCCCCATTGCCTCTATAGGTCAGTATATAATATATTGCCATGATCTCTGATCAGCCGTTCGAATTCCATCACGTGTGCTCCACGGTGAATACGGTGCAGCCTCATCGAGGCGGCACAAACACGGCCTTTTTTGGGTGTGCACGTCAGCCACGCCGGTTTCGGAACCCTCGGAGAAGAAAAACTTGTAGAGGATCGTTTCGCCTTCACTCAGACGAACCATATCTACAAGGCCTGGGAGACCGGGGATGTTGTTGAGGTGAAAAATGCAATTCTTCAAGAGAATGTCGATGTGAATTTGAAGGGTGGATGGTTGCCCCTTTTCCTCCATCTCTCTCCTTAACCCTCTTTTAACGTTGTTTAAACACGCAAAGAACTTTTTCCTTAACAGAACATCGAGCGAAAATCGAAAACGATCTGTTGAATTGACGTAAGTGCAACATAGTCAATCATTCACCTGACTAAAAGATCCGCCGGTGTTCCGTGACCGTTTATCAATTGAAAACGAATAAACTGAATTCTTTGACGATGGCGCTGCCCATAGCTAAAATAATGTAAACTATGATTGAATGTATCTCCTGAAATTAGCCCTGTCTCTCCTACAAGTCCTGTGTGATAGTTACCTGTCTTTCAGCGNTTTGTGAGAATCTTGTTTCCGATGCTGAACCATGCTACAGCAAAAAATGACCATCCAGTAATAATACCCGAAAAAGGCGGTGCCAGTTGTACCAGTGCCGTTATTACACCGGGTGTGTGCATACCTAAAATCGGGTGATTTATTTTGATCTCGCTGAAATATGTAAGGAATTATGGTAATGATTGATAATCGATATTTCTTCCGGTAAGACGAGAGAAATGGCGTTGTTATTGTGATGGGAATTACTATCGGAAGCGTTTTTTTGGGCGGAAGTAGGTGGGGCGCGAGGGAACGCTTACGAGACCGTCTTTGACCGGCCTGGAAATTTTCTCGCAATTATGGAATGGTGGGGTAATTCAGAAGGCTGAGCTGGAGCAGTTTTGAGTGGCTCGTTCTCATGCATATGATCTGGAAACTGAACACTACCTCTCCTTATAGTCACGCAAGCATTTCATTCCCTCATGTTGTATCAGTTGGTGCCACACCGATGTAAGAAGATAGAGAACGCTGACTTCTGCACCGCCTACCCCAGACAATTCAACGTACAAGTTATGTCCATAATCAAACTTATCTCTGACTTCGATCGGGAGTAGAATACACGGCGCATCCCAGTATAAGAGTGATCAAAGCAAAAGGTTCATTGTTCATTTTCCTACCTGCAAATATCATTGCACCACACAACGAAAAGACGGCGAACACAGCCCGAGTTTTGTCGAACAGCGGCACAATGAAGATGCACATTGCCAGTCCTGCAGAGGCGACAGCATTGAAACCCTGGAAAGGATATTAGTCAGTTTTGTTCAAATCAAGTGAACAATAATTTCAAGAAGTCATAATCTGGCTTAATTGGTATTCATTTTCTTTTTTCACTCTGCTATTATTCTTTTCTCTCCTTCCACATTCACTCACGGCCAGTTTGACTGTATGACACACTTCAACCGCAGTTAATATGTGAACAATTGAGTTGAATTGTAAGATTTGGTAACTGTCAAAACCAGCAGGTGCATTCTCCCAGTGATTCCTGTTCCGAACATTAGTTAGAAGTACGTGTTGGCTGGTAGGACAATGATCAAAATATGCAGAACTTAGATTTCAGTCTCAATTTGGTTTCTTCGTATCACCGGTATCTAGGTGTAAAAAATTGTGGTTGGTAGGTCTTTCCCTTCATAAAAAGGATTTTTACATAATAATTTTTAGTGTGGTTGAAATTCGATCGCTCAGGAAAATAAATGCGGAATGAGTTGCAGTACTTCATGGCCTATCGTCAATATTGAAGTGCGTGCTGTCCGATCGTCCGAAAGGAGAGTATCAACTTCCTTCTGAGGATACGTAAGTTCAGATGGATGTGTTTTAAAAGTGGAAGAAATTAATTTAAGTAAGGAATATATCCTGACGATGAGTTCCAGAGGTTCCGGATCCCATCTATTACCCAATCAATTCAATGAAATAGTCAACAACTAACTTCCAATGCCACACATTAAGTACCAGTACAGGGCATTGTCTTTGACAAAAAATCGGAACTGTCGAAAAACTGGAATTATGGCCGTTCGTTTCATGTTGTTCTCATCAAATCAACTAATTGAATCATGAATTTCTGATTTGAGAATAGCTATAGACCCTAGGATACAAGTGGATCCTGTCTTTGGAAGTGCCCAGTATTATCCAAAACTGCTGAATGACTGAGCTTCTGTATGCCAGAAATTCCCCGTACTCGACTTTACCGTCGAGTTCGATTTAATTTGAAACAATTAAATATGGATTCGAAGAGGAAGCTAAGCCAGTGGATGGTTGAGTTTGGAGCGATGTATCTATCCATTCTGTGCAGTAACCTATCCCCGTTCTTTCCGAGCTACGTCACATTCCATTTGAGGAACCGCAATCGTAAATTCAATTAAAAGTTATCGTTTTTGTGAAATCGATTAGCGAGTGCAATGAGAACCTGCCGGTTGTAAAGTCTTCTTTTTATTAGTACAACTACATCCGATTTGAAACGAGTAACTGTAATAAACCTTGCAGACGACGGTTTTGTCCATGTCTCTCTTCGTAACCAAGTACGATGCAAACGACGAAGATAGTGTTTTCGAAAGGAACAGACACAAAATTGGCAGTGCTGCGATCAGTCCGTTCTGTGTAGGAGCGAATTCCAACACATCACGCATGTAATTGGGAAGAAACTGAAAAATCACGGCATCAGAGCCATCAGTTTTGCCCATTTCCGTTGTATGGNTACCTGAAGCATGATCACCAAAGGGTATTCGTGGCAGACCAAGGCGAAGATAGATGCCCAAAGAGGCCGCGATCGCAACATCGCTCGATAGGGGACTCGTCGTGAACGGTCTGTTCTTTTACCGATAGATTCGCAGGCGATTCTGAACAATGAAAAATCGCTTCTGAGCTAGTTTCTATTAGAGAACCATGGCATTAATATTCAGGTGGCTTGGTTCCTTACCTACTCTCAATAAAATTTCTCTCCCTTCCAGATATACAGCACTGCTTTGATGGCTTGTCTGCTCCGAATGGAATCCAGAATACCGTGACAAGAATGGATATGCAGGCAGAAAGATAGAAAATAGCCGGCCAACCATCGAGGATATCCTTTCTAGTACAAAGGTAACCAGCTGTTGGCAGAATGAACAGCGTACCTGGAATGGTAGAGCAGGTAAGTGAAGCTAACTTGGGGCTTAATCCAAAATTTTTTACTTAATACTCTAAGTGAGTAGCAGAAGATTTCTTTCTTTCGGGCTTTCATCACAAGTAAACATCAAACCGTTTGGCGAAATGTCACGTAGGTGTAAAATGTACAGATAAATATTAGAAGAATCAAACTTTGACCTTGGTTTTTGGTGATTAATTTTATTTTTACCTTATGGTTTTGTTAGGATGAGTTTATTTTTTGTTATCGAGATTTTATTAATTCCGGTCAGTGTGTCTAGATATACTTTCTTTCTCAGTGATGCTCAGCTGAAAGAATCCTTCCTTTATGCCAACATGCCATAACCTCAGCAGGTTTTTTTTTGAGAAAGAGTATTGTGACGCCGTTTCCCTTTTGGGACATCATTCAATTATCTACTGCTTACGATACCGAAATTGATTGAACGCGCGCAAAATCGATACAGGATACAGTGGGAGAACTCATTATTCGCTATTCAATGTTAATTTTTGGCTCGAGTTAGAGGATTTCTGAAAGGCTCACTTCGCTCAGGAACATCTTAGAATTACAAATGGCAGCTGCGTACACTACGATACAGCCGAATAATATCTATGTTACCAGAGCTCCCTAAATTTACTGCGCAAGTGCCAGTGGAGGGAGGGCCAGTACCGAAAAATTTCTTCGAACCTGGATTACTAGAGAATCTGATGACATCAATGTGCGTAGGCTAGCTTCTCTGGCAGTTTTTCCCAATCGTTTTCGCGCTAGAGTCATTTTGTTCGTCTACTTATCTATTTGATTGTTTATTTAACTATTCCCACTGCATCCGGAGCTTTCCAATTGATACTGGAAACATGTGGGGCTGATACGAAAATCGACAAGGCCAAGGTCGATTCAGTGTCCATAGAATTGATGGATGTATTCATACAGTTGGTAAGACTCCGTAAATGTTGACCAATTACGTCATAGACGTCCTCGTTTCGGTGTTATGTGTGTGTTCGGTTGGTTGTTTTCTGGGACGTAGGCGGATTGCGTGATGGTGTACAGCGGCGTGTGAGTGTCAGAGTGGTCTGCGGCAAGGTTTCCTAAGACTCCCTATAGATCCGGTTCGTCACGTTATGACCATCGACTTGCCGCCAATAGCTTTCGGCGGCGGCCAACCAGCCATTTCTATCGCTATCATTATGGTTAATGTTCACAATGATATGATGGCGATGTAGGAATGATAATGGTCAGAAAACTGAAGAATGAAACCCTTTCGGCGCTTACCTATCTGCCGTCCTCCTGAGATAAGCCCGATCGCTGCAGCCCGTTCTGATTGCGGGAACCACCTGTAATACCTGGGATCAGGAAAGTTTTTGCGAGACATGGAACAACCTTGGCTGGTTTCAGCTGATCGTTGTTATTCCACAAAAACCCCTCTCTGCTCTTTGATTTTTTATTAATCCCTTTGGAAAACTGGTTATTCACCTGGTGATTAGCGAATTACATGCTGGCATCAAACATGCATCAGAAGCTCCGACGGCGATTCTGGCTACGACAGCAAACCAGAAGGATTCGGCAGCGAACAAGGGTAGTACAAGATTGCCCACACAGCACAATAGCAACGCCACGAACACCTGAGTAGATCGCAAGATGAGACAAATGATCAGGACAAAACTTATAAAATGTACAGCGTACCATCCATTTACCATTCAGACGATCGGCCCACATACCGGTAACCAAAGTCAGCAAAGAGCCAGCGTTTTGTGCAGCCAAGACCAGACCTTCCTGAATGACCTCCAATGAGGTTATGCGCTGAATAGTTACACAAATGGATATGGAATAAGCAAATATAATAAATAAAAACAGGAAGCATCTCCAGTTTGGGTTCCTCTCCCCCTCCTCGATGAGATCAGCTTATCCAGCTGTTTTAATCAGACGTACAAATCTCACTCCGAGGAAGTTTCATAGGGGGTTTTTAGGGTCTCAAGAGCTTGATTTGGTGAGGAGGGTGTACAGAATCACCTAAGGAAGAACCTATGGTATTACAATTGAAATTAGGGCACTGCACCAGATTAACTCTAAACCCTGACCAGTGAGTGTAAAATTTCCATTGCCTTCTGACTCCGTGCAAGGGATGGGACTGTAGGCACCCCCACTGACCAGATTTCTCATCCATTTCAATTTTCAAGGTGATCGAAATCGAAAGTACAACGCAATCACCTGTTCAGTTTTCCATTTCAGATCTCCACCATAACCATGATGAGGACAGGACGTCATGCAGATGAGAGCCACTGCCAAATTTGAGCTGGAGATGGAGAGGGTGATAAAACAACAGCATAACATTGCCGCTAACATCAACCGCATTGACGGAAATAGTACCGACGGCATCGCAAGATCGCCTGAATCAAAGCTGTTGGCGCAAGAGACTCAAAGGTAAATCTTTCTATGAACTTTTGAAGATTTCTCAGGTTCTGATAGATAAGGTTCTTTATAGTCATGAGGTCTTTTTGCAGTTTCGAACCTGCGTCAAAAAAAAAATAGACAATATTCTAAGAAATCCATGTAACGAACCCGCCTCGCTGGCTGCGTACAAGGAGGCCGTCGTCGACGGTAGCGGACGATCATCATTGAGATCTTAAAAGACATATAAGAAAATGTAGACTTCCTGATACAATATCCTAAGAAATTTCGAGAGTGACAAACTGTTTTATGTGGTCAATTTCATGTATATGGGAATATCATTCACTCATTGCCGGTTTCATGGGAATAGTGTCTTCCCTACTTCCACAGTCGACCTTACAAAGATGGAGAATTTCCGGTCAGATGATTGAATGGGTACTTCATTGGAATTGTTCCTTCCGAGTCTATTCGTAATAAATATATCTGTCAAAGTAAGGAAGAAAAACGAATTCGGAGCGTGACCGTGCAAGGGTTGCGACCATGGAACGTCGTCCTTCTCCTGGGACATTGATTACTGGATCACATGTACAAAGGAAACCAAGAAAGCTCACCTATCACCGTACAGTAAGCCAGTACTAATGAAAACATCACTATTTAGAGTGTATGAGTTGGTACATTTTAGTTGTAGCATTTGTTAGATTTTAGAAAGATTCACAAGAAGTGAAGAACTTATTTTCAGCGACGGAGATGGAAATAAGGTCTTGCTGCTTGCCTGACTGCGGATATGAGAAAAGACAGTGAGAGAAAATGGTTCCTTCTATGTCCAAAAGCCCTGGTTCGCCTAAAACGGACAGCGATCCCTCATCCTGAGCTGAACCCAGAAGCTCCAGTGGAGTAGGACCTTGATATCCGGTGAGCAAGTTCCTCCTACTTCGTATTTGGACAATCAAAAAGTTGATGTCATATCATTAGAATCGGAAAGCTTTATCAATTCTTAAGCACGTCTACTACTTGAATAGCTTGTGTGTGGGCTACATAAGCTTGGACACTAACGGCTACTTCAACTTTCTTCGAGTTATAGGCACCGAAAGTATACCAGCAATGGCTCGAAAAGGCCCGAAAACCACCCAATTAATTGTCCAGGCAGAGGAAATGCGATCAGATCAAGCAAAAGTAGACCTTCAGGTTTATTGGGACTATCTGGGGAGTGTTCTGTTCATCTTTCTGATGTGGAAAGAGCAGTAGAATGAGAGAAGGGTGAAATAGGTGTAATTCGAAGAGGCGGCATTAGTCAAGTAGCTAAGCGAGAAAAAAGAGAAAACATATTGACAAATTAAGGCAGTAGCGGGTACCAAAAGGCAAAATTGAAGAGAAGTGGGAGAATTGACATACCTATACGAAAGATGGTCTTTTCTGGAGGTGAATCTAGACTGGTCGATCTATCAAGGCGAGACATTGTCAGATCACTGACGGAAGGTGGGGGCGTGGACATTAGGCGGCCATTAAGAACGAAAGTGGTGGTCGACGGGATGCCAGCTCACGTTGATGACATTGTCCCCAGATGATAATGCACCGAATACGAAGGACGACCACGTCGTCAATGACCAAGAGGAGGCACTTGGAAAGGGCACGGAAGTCAGCAAAAACCGATGAAACCAGTACCAGTTTATTAACTATGTGAATAGGCACGTACTCTCTTCCGTAGGGGGTATCTGAGCGGTACAGATGAGCCAGCTAAACGTTTTTGGGATCACTGGCTGCAGATCTTTTTCTGCAGCAATCGATGCTATACCCCTCTCAAAGCGGTATCAGCGCAAAACAAGGTCGCCGTTGAGAAAAGTTAAAAGAAAGCAGGATCGATTGCAATGGATGCTAACTGGAAACGAGACAAAGAGCGGAAGAAAAAAAAAGAAAATCAAGAAATTATGAGCATGGCCAAGTGTCGAAGAAAAGTCAGCCCACTCGGAAACCCTACGAGGCCCTAGCACTACCACTTGTTGATAGGAAACTTGAGATGAATCTTCTCAGTGCTCATCAGTCCTTTCTACAAAACAGCTTCCGCACTTGTTTCCCTTTCAAAATTCCGTTTTTTCAGCTGTAGTTTGTATGCGGTTTGGTCAGTGATCTTTGAACATCAGCGTAATGAGCATGAAAATGACTGTCCGATAGCTATTACCCCAAAAAAAAA